GGGGGTTTCCACCATTCCACGTGGACACTTAGCAAAACGCCCTCGATTCGGGCTCGGTTCGTTCCCCAGCGCCGCGAAGCATCGCTGGTTCGGCTCGCGGCCGCTGGGAGCGCTGCTCGACTCGCCTGCCGTCGGCCGCCTGCCCGTGACGTGCCCGTCCACCTCGCCTCCTTCAGTCATTGTTGTCGTCGCTTGAGTGTCATGTCCGTCCGTGCAACAGTCAGCGGGCAGCGGGAGTAAAGTATTTTCGTGATCGCCACGCGTGTGCAATGGCCCCTACCCAGAGTAAGAGTCCCTACCACATCCTCTACGACGCGCACAACAAGAGGTATTGTGACCTCACCGCACAAGCCATCCAAGATAAGTGCAACAAAGTGTGGAAAGATTTGAAAGCAAATCATCGCGGGGCTGAATTGAGCAACGCTGTTCAAGAGCTTTGTCGTAAACTTAACGAGGAAGCAACTCAACGAAACGCCAAACGTTTGAACTTCTTTGTTAAGGTAAGAAAACAATTCATTTTGCTTGAGTTTCGCTCGATAAAGTTAGGTTATGTCGCCCAGAGTCGTTTATGTAAAACTATCATTTCGCGTTCTCAGGGTGTTACTCAACGGGGAGAGGAAAACTAAAAGAATATAACGACAGTTTCTCATACCATTCGAACGCGTGTTAAAATTGTCTTTGTTCTGGATGTTTTTCGGGCGAAGCGGCGCGGTCGATCCAAGGGGAAATCGACGTCTTAGTCCAGCACATCACAGTCGCATTATACAACCCGTGCTGAAATAATGACCGCACGCCTTACCGCGGCGTTCTCGAGCACACCGTCAAGTACCGCGTTCGCCCGCGATCGTCGTCGTGGTGACACCGGGCGGCGCGCGTACCTGCAGGATCGAGTCAACGCCAACCTCTCGCAGCCGACAGCCAGCTTGACGACCAGATGTAGTCCGTGCGTGCCGAGGTGGACGCCGTCGTCCTGGTGACTCGAGGCTGCGGGCGCCCCTGGCCCTGCACTCGGACGCTTGGCGCCAACTGCCGTCGTGGCCATGGGCCTCAAGTCCTGCGGGCCCCGGGTCCGGCCCACTACTCAGCGGCGTGAGGATGGGATGCGCACTATGCGCAGACCCTGGGCCTGGGCCCTCCTGCGGCCTCCAGCTGCGGCCTCCAGCTGCGGCGTGCAGCTGCGGCCGTGCAGCTGCGGCGTGAAGCTGCA